GTGACCGTCCTGCGCTATAATTGATTAACCTGGGCTCCAGAGTCGTGGGACAACAACCTTCCTTTTGAGCCATTTCCCTAACTCTTGCTCGCCAGATCGTGGTTTCGTAACCCGAGATGTATAAACACACATACCGTCATTAATTCTCGGAAAAAACAGCCACACGAAGCCTTCGATATCGAAAGAGTTTTGTTTCAGTTTTTTAAAAACCCCTCTAAGACTGCACATCTTATGGTACTGATGGAAGAGAACCTCTGTAGCTCAGGGCTGCCTTGTGGGGGTCCTTGGTGTGCTCTGAGCTAAGTGGTTTCCTTGGAGACATTTCATGACCCAACTAGCTAACATCATCGGTGCTAGAAGGGAGAGGGGTTGGTGGAGAGGAGGAGGAGGACGACGAGGAGAACGAGAAGGACGAGGACTGTGGGGTCCTTTGGTTCTTTCTGAGTTTGATTGTGATCCTACAGATTTTTCATGACCCAACTGGGCAACACCATCAACTGCTAGAAGGGAGTGGGGTTTGCAGAGAGGAGAAAGAGTAGTAGTAGTAGTAGTAGTAGTAGTAGTAGTAGTAGTAGTAGTCCTGGGTGTTCTCTGAGCTTGGTGATTTCCTTGGAGACATTTCATGACCCAACTAGCTAACATCATCGGTGCTAGAAGGGTGAGGGGTTGATGGAAAGGAGGAGGAGGAGGAGGAGGAGGAGGAGGAGGAGGAAGGACGACGACAAGGAGGACTGTGGGGTCCTTGGTTCTTTCTGAGCTTGATTGTGATCCTACAGATTTTTCATGACCCAACTAGGCAACACCATCAACTGCTAGAAGGGAGTGGGGTTTGCAGAGAGGAGAAAGAGTAGTAGTAGTAGTAGTAGTAGTAGTAGTAGTAGTAGTAGTAGTAGTCGTCCTGGGTGTTCTCTGAGCTTGGTGATTTCCTTGGAGACATTTCATGACCCAACTAGGTAACATCATCAGTGCTAGAAGGGAGAGGGGTTGATGGAAAGGAGGAGGAGGAGGAGGAGGAGGAGGAGGAGGAAGAGAATGACTGCTGTGGGGTCCTTGGTATTCTCTGAGCTTGTTATTTTCTTGCAGACCTTTCATGACCCAACTAGCTAATATCATCAGTGCCCGAAGGGAAGGGGGTGTGCCCTCATTTTATACACTAGGATAGAAGCAAACCCCATTCCCTCCTAGCATTGATGAAGTCCATCCATCTTAAAATCACCAGGATTGAAAAACACTCTCCTAGAGAATACACAACCCCTGAATTGTTTTTAACCTTGGTGGAGACTGTCCTCACCACCCTGCAACAATGGGGTCAAGTCTGATGCATCCACACAACCAACGTACTTCATGGTGAAACTCCCTCAGAGGGGAAAGAGAAGAACGAATGGTGGTTAAGCCAAGGACTGCCTATAAAAGGTGTATCGGTGCCACCCAGTCATACCTCCTAGGACCGGGACCTTGCTAAATCCAATTTAGGGACAGGTAGTCCTCAACTTACAAGTTTTGCTTAGTGACCTTTGGACTGATCTAGAAATGTGCTCTAACACAGGGCTTTTCAACCTTTTCACCTATTGTACCACTTTTACGATATGGCAATATCTGAGTACCACCAGTCGCCTAGCAAGGTGTCAAAAACTTGATGACCCCCCCCAAAAAAGGAAAAAAGTGATAAAGCACAGGTAGTCCTCGACTTACAACAGTTCGCTTAGTGACTGTTCGAAGTTACAATGGCACTGAAAAAAGTGCCCCACAAGCCACAGCCGAGCAAGACACCTGCCTGCCCGCCCGGCGGCGCTCTTCCTCCTGTCCGAGGTTTCCATTGTTGTGAGAATTTCTATTGAGGATTGGCAGCAGGGGTGGGGTGGGGGGTGTTTGGTCTTTATTCCCCCCGTCTGCTGGGTGTTTGCAGCAGGTTTTGGTCACTTCACATGACCCTGGGACACTGTGACCGTCATAAATATGAATCAGTTGCCAAGCATCTGAATGTAAATCACAAGACTCTGGAGATGCTGCAACATTCCAGCTGATCGGCGCTTCTTCTGGGCTCAGCGGAAGCGCCAAGATCAGTGCCGAGCTCCAGCTGGAGCCTGGCGCTGATCCTGGCGCTTCCACTGAGCCCTGACAGCCCTGAAGAAGCGCCGATCCTGGCGCTTCCGCTGAGCCCTGACAGCCCTGCAGCTCCAGCCGTCTCTCGCTCAGGCTTGTGCGGTGCTGCCACAGGTTCAGCTCATTCCCCTCCCCCGCTACTTTTCTAGGATGGTCGCGTACCACCTGCCAGGTGCCAATGTACCACAGGTGGTACCCGTACCACTGGTTGAAAAGCCCTACGAGTCTAACAGAATAACCGTGTCGGGAGGGACCTCAGAGGTCTTCTAGTCCAGCCCTCTGCTCAGGAAGGAAAGCCTGTACCAGTTCAAATGTCCAATCTCTTCCTAAAAACCTCCAGTGTTGGAGCACCCACAGCTTCTGGAGGCAGGTCGTTCCACTGATGAATTGTTCTCACAATCGAGGTTGCTTCTCTCTAGAGATGCTTTACTAGGAGGTTACTCCAATCTACTGGTTAGTAATATAATTAGTCCCCGTTTTCGGGACGCCTGACCCATCAATCAACCAGATTAACTTTGATTAACTCGCCTTCATACAACACGTTTTTGCAGTGTTGTGGCCTCAAAGACTGAAGCCAACCAAGTCTTTGCAGGCTTTGTCGAACGTAGACACCGATGTGTACATAGGCATTGTACATTGACCATACAAGAATTACGAGCAACTGGGATTTTGACCGTTTTGTCTTCTGGACCAAGTTGACTTCGTTTACTTAGCTTATCACCTGGCTGGCTTCCATCTCAGGTTTCACGTTGTACCTTTGAAATTGAGGACCAAACATTTTGAAAATTGGAGTGGAAGTGTCCTATTACTTCATGGGTCCATCAATGAAATCATAGATTATCACCTTTGGAACACAGACAGATGACCTGCTTGAAAAATAGCCCTTCTAATCCAGTTTCAACTGACTGTCTCCTCCTAACCATTGATACAATCGAAGACAGAAATTAAACCAGGATTTGTTTTCAGTGGGATAGGAATACAAGTCAACCTAAGGTTGGCCCATAACCCACAATCTTGCTTCTCCCTTCCTACTGTTCTCGCAGCCAAATTTGAACAGGGACTTTTGGGAGGGGGCATAGCATAGGACTTGGGGTGTTCTTTCATCCAAACTCTTCTCCTTAGCCCAACGGTAGGCAACCTTGGCTCTTTTATGACTGGTGGACTTCAACTCCCAGAATTCCTGAGCCAGCCATGCTGAGGGGAAAGGGAGAGGTTTCCAAGCTGAGCCATGCTGGCTCAGGAATTCTGGGAGTTGAAGTCCACCCATCTCTGAGTGGCCAAGGTTGAGAAACACAGGCCTAGGCCAGGGGTAGGCAACCTTGGCTCTTTTATGACTGGTGGACTTCAACTCCCAGAATTCCTCAGCCAGCCACGCTGAGGGGAAAGGGAGAGGTTTCCATGCTGGCTCAGGAATTCTGGGAGTTGAAGTCCACCAGTCATAAAAGAGCCAAGGTTGCCTACCCCTGCCTTAGCACAAAAGTGCTTTTCCCCCCAAAAGCAACTGGACTTGTTTTTTCTTTGAAGACATTTCACTTCTCATCCCAAGAAGCTTCTTCCATTCTGACGAAAGGCGTCAGGTCAGTCAGAAATTCGGCCAGAACGGAAGAAGCTTCTTGAGATGAGAAGCGAAACGTCTTCAAAAAAAAACAAAAAAACCAAGCCCAGTGGCCTTTGGAAAAAGCACCTTTTTTGGGGGGGGAACAACCGTGACCCGGATGACCTCCTTCAGCCCCTCAACTGCCACCGAGGGTCCCCGAAAATCAAAACGAGGGGAAGGCCCAGACGGGAAGCATTGTAGATGGGTTTTTATTGAAACCAGATATTCTGAACTTTGCAGAGGAAGTCGACTCCCCTCTGTTGAGGTTGCTTCGTTTTCCATTTGTAAAAGATCCTTTTTTTTTTTGCCCCCCCTCCCATAACTTATAAACATGATTTACACACAGTCTCTGGTGGCAGGAGGGAAGGGCAGTGCAGATACTCCCCCCACAAACTCCGTAGGGCCCCGGGAGTGATAGCAGGCAAGGCAGCTCTCTCTCTCTCTCTCTGTGTCTCTCTCTCTCGTTCCGATGAAGCTTTTTCATGCACAGGACAGGCGGCTTCCACTGAAGAGGGGTGGTCTGCATTGGGGGGGCCGGGGGGGGGAGATCTGAGAAACACTGTTTTCGTACATCCAGCCAATGCAGAGACACAACGGCAGCTTCCCGCACAACTTGAGGGCAGAGGCGGCAAGGAGGGAAGGGCGGGGTGCAACTGGAGGGCCCCCCCCCGAAACGGGCCCGAGAAAACCACGATTGCCGTTGCGCCTTTTGGCAAAACCCAAACCAAACGAAAAATAAAAATAAAAATAAAAATAAATCTCCCCAATAAACCAAAACGAGGATAAGCTCCTGCATTGCATTTAAAGGCAGGTCCTACGGATTTTTTTTCCCCTCTCTTTGGAAAACCGTCAAAGTTGGCGCTCTCCTTCCCGGATGGAGGGAAAAAGGGAAGGAAATGGGTGGGGGAATGGGTGGGAGGGAGGGAGGGAGGGAGGGGCCAAGCTCCCTCAATTCCAGACCTCTGGCAGCCCCAATCTCTGGGAAAGAAAGCCTTTTCCCTGTTCCCAAGGCTAGAGTGCCCCCTGGTGGCAGGAGGCAGCGAAGCAGTGCCCCGTGGATCTTGTGAACCGTATTTTGGGCCAAAGGTCTGGCGTCCCCAACTTACAGGTCCACCACCAGCTGCTCCTTCTGGGTGGGAGGCAGAAGGCCCCCCTTCCTGCTCTCCACCCCCAGACGACCCCCGGGGTGGGTCTCCCTTCCTGCCCGCCCCACCGAGGGCCAGACAAGGAGGAAAATGGGGCCATGAACTGCACTGAAGGTGGTGAGGAGAAGGAGGAGGAGGAGGAGGAGGAGGAGGAGAAGGGCAGCTTAACCAATGGTGAGGCCGAAGCCGCACTGGAATTTGTTCTTGCGGTGATTGAGGAAGGCCCCCATGGCGAGCGTCAGGGGCAGCGGGATCAGCTTCTTTTCCAAGGCGGCCCCCACGATCCAGTTGCTGTCAATGGAGCCTGGGGACGGAGGGGAATCAGAGTCAAAAAGTGCGGGGGAGACGGCCCCTCGCAAAAGGAATAAATAATTATAAGAAATAATTGCAATAAGTGTATCATTATTATATGATAATAAAGGCAGGAGATAGAGAGACTAGATTAGATAGGCAGACAGAGGGATAAATAGATAAATGGATAGATGAATAGGTGGATAGGCAGACAGACTGACAGAGGTAAATGGATAAGACAGAAAAACAGAGATATAGATAGATAGATAGATAGACAGACAGACAGACAGACAGACAGACATGGATGGATGGATGTATAGTCAGGTAAACAGGAGATAGACAGATGGATAGACAGAAAGAGATAAATGGATAGATGGATGCATAATTAGATAGATAGATAGATAGATAGATAGATAGATAGATAGATGATAGATAGATAGATAGATAGATAGATAGATAGATAGATAGATAGATAGACAGACAGATAGATAGATAGATAAATGTAGGTAGGTAGGTAGGTAGGCAGACAGACAGACAGACAGACAGACAGAGATAGAGAGACAAGACAGAGATGGATATATAGTCAGGTAAACAGGAGACAGACAGAGATGGATAGACAGACAGAGATAAATGGATAGATGGATGCACAGATAGTTAGATAGGCAGACAGAAAGAAAGACAGAGATAAATAGATGGGTAGATATATAGATGGATTAGACAGCTAGAAAGACAGACAGACAGACAGACATAGAATGGATGGATAGATAGATAGATATAGATGGATGGAGGCATAAATGGATAGTCAGATAGATAGGGGACAGACAGACAGAGATGGCCAGACAAAAAGAGATAAATAGATTGATCCACTTGTCCAAATTTGAGCGCTCCCTATTAGGGCCCAACCCAGCACAGGTAGTCTTCGACCTTATGTCCACAACTGGGAATAGACTTTCTGTGGGGCTGTTAAATGAGTCGGCTTCTGATTTTACGACCTTTTTTTTTTGACCAGGCGTTGTTAAGTCGGTGCCGTTAAGCGAATCGCGCAGCCGGGAAGCGAAGGCAGCTCCACCCACCTGCTGACTCTGCTCGCCTCTTGAACCCAGGGCCAGCCAGGTGACCGCAGGACGCTGCAACCGTCGCAAAGGTGAGCCGGTTGCCAACGCCCAGATTGTGACCGCGTGAACCGCAACAGTCCTAAACGCGAGGACCGGGCCGGCGTAACTTTGAAACAGTCACTAAACGAACCGTCGTAAGTCGAAGACGGCCTGCAGGCATCGTTTTGTTTCGCTTTACTGAAGAAACGGCCCCCTTAACCCTCCCCCCCCGAAGAAATAAACTCAAGAGCTCCATACCTTTGAAAAGGAGGTTGGCTTTGGGTAGATCCAGCTGGTATCCGAAGGTTGCGCTGGTGTCTTGCATGCGGGTGCTGGCTTCGAATTCCACCCCCACCTGCAACTGGAGAGCCGGACCAGAGAGAAGGCATGAGAGCCAGGCCCCACGGCACCTGGGCCCCACTGCAGCCCTGCCCCACCACGTCGTCTCCCAAAGACAACTCACTTGGTCGCTGGCCTTGTGGTAATACGTGGCGTGTGCGCCAGCCTGTCCTATTGTCAGCGTCGCAATCCAATTTGGTGCTGTGGAGGATGGAAAAGGGAGACTGTCTTCCTTGGGGGACCAAGATCTGCCTTGAGCCCCCGTGCAGGACCCCGCCCCAGGCTGAGTGGCATCACCACCACAGGTGGTTCTCGGCTTACGACCACAAGAGGGAACGATGCATTTTTTTTTCATTAGGCGAAGTATTGTGTGATCTTATTGACACAATACGTTTCTATCCTATTTTTGTTCAGAGCTCAGAATGGTGTACAGATTGCTCCCTGGAACATCAACCCTGTTAGGGAGACTAAGCTGGCCTAGAGTCAATTGGGGGGTTTCCTTGGCTAAGAAGGGTCTGTGCTCGCTCACACACACACACACACACACACACACACACACACACACACAATCTGACCCCTCCTTCTTGCAGAATGGGACAACTCAGTGTGGCCAACTCGCCAGAGCAATTCGCCGCAGAACAATTCAACAAACATAAAAGTTAAATTAATTTGAGCGGCACCATGGCCGATAATAAAATAAAGTCCACCCAGAAATACAAGTTACAATAATTTTGACAATAATAAAAATAACTGACATGGTTAATGCAGAGTTGAATTGTTCCGTGGCCAGCTGTCCTAGGGCAGAGGCCCCCAACTTTTTGGACACCAGGGACCGGTTCCGTGGAGAGGTTTTTCCGTGGACTGGAGGTTGCGTGGTTGTGTGTGCTGCCTGCATCTCGCAGATGGGGCTTTGCTTGTTTGTGCGGATCGGCTGCTGGCATGCCACGGACAGGTGCTGGTCCGCAGCCCAGGGGGTTGGGGATCCCTGTCCTAGACTCTCACAGACATTAATCCAGCTGCCAAGTTCCACTTTGCCATTAAACCACAAATGTATCCAGGCTTGACTGAACCCCCAAAGTCCCCAAAAAGCCAGGTCCCTTCAAACGGGTCCCTTTGTGGGGCTGCCCCAAAGAAGAGGGGGGTCAACCTGTTCTCCAAAGCGCCTGAAGGCAGGACAAGAAGCAACGGATGGAAACTGATCAAGGAGAGAAGCAACCTAGAACTAAGGAGAAACTTCCTGACAGTGAAAACAATTAACCAGTGGAACAACCTGCCTCCAGAAGCGGTGAATGCCCCAACACTGGAAGTTTTTAAGAAAACACTGGACAGCCATTTGTCCGAAATGGTCTAGACCAGGGGTAGGCAACCTTGGCTCTTTTATGACTGGTGGACTTCAACTCCCAGAATTCCTGAGCCAGCATGGAAACCTCTCCCTTTCCCCTCAACATGGTGTAGGATTTCCTGCCTGAGTAGGCGGTTGGACTAGACGACCTCCAAGGTCCCTTCCAACTTTATTGTTGTTGTTGTTGTTGTTATTATTATTATTATTATTATTATTGATCGCACAGTCAGCCTGGTATTCAGACTGGATTTGGCATTTTTGTCCACCTATCGAGTCCTTCCCAAGGACCTAGGATAGGCAGATTATTATTATTATTATTATTATTATTATTATTATTATTATTATTATTGATTATGATGATGATCGCACAGTCAGCCTGGTATTCAGACTGGATTTGGCATTTTTGTCCACCTATTGAGTCCTTACCAAGGACCTGGGATAGGCAGATGTGGATGTTTGATGGTATTGCAGATATCGTCGCAGGATGGAAGCAGTTAATTACTATTATTATTATTATTATTATTATTATTATTAACGCCAAAGGATGCCGAGGGTTACCTGTGTACTTCCCAGCAAGAGATATGACGGTTCCCTCTTCCCCTGCTCGCCGATGGTACACCAGTTCCCCGCCCAGCGCCAGGCACGGCGTGATGCTCTGCAGATAATGTGCCACTAGGATCCCTGTGGAATGCAGATGGGGGGGGGGCTGTTTAGTACCTTTTATGTGGAAACCCTCACCCTCCCCACTGGGCAGCCCTGCCAGGAAAGGGTCAGGGATTAAGCCAGAGCCCAGGGTGAGCAGGAATGAGGCAAGAGGAAGAACCGAGGATGGAGTTTGCTCACCTGAGCCTACTACGATATCGGGGTTCCCTAGCGTGGCGGCCGCGGTGAAATCTGTGCCCCGGTATTCGCCGTCCACTTGCCAGTTCACAAATTTGGCTTGCTGCGTCTGGAAGACAAAGGAGAGGGTAAGCGAAGGCTCGTCTGCCTTTGGATATTTGCAGAGAATATTCGTAGCTTGGGGTTGAGCGGTGGGGTTTTATGAACCATCGAGGTAACATCATCAGTGCTAGAAGGGAGTGGGGTTTGCAGTGTGGAGGAGGAGGAGGAGGAGGAGGAGGACTGTGGGATCCTTGGTGTTCTCTGAGTTTGGTGGTTTTCTTGCAGACGTTTCATGACCCAGCTAGGT